ATGAGTGTTTTTACGGTGAGATCACCCCCCAGGTTATCTGGCCTATTAGATTATGCCTGGCTTGAAGACCTCCGAAGTCACGAAACCTCTGCGGAGGAAAGCGGACTCGAACCCGTGGACTGGCCAAGACATCGGACATCGATCAATTAATCTTTCCAATATGACATTCCTTTTCCTCCTTTTCATAGAAAATTTGTGAAATACAGAAAACTATTTGGGATAAAAATAATGTGAGTTCCCATCCCGAGATGATTGCTATTAATAATTTTTTTTCCCTTTTAGATATTTTTGCTTCCAGGCTTTTTAATATGGATATACCTGCCCACGTATTTTTCCAAATTTGGGGTTGTACTAGAAATGTCTTTGTGTTCCCATTTTGTCCCCTTAGCTTTCTGTCTGAGATTTAAGGTTATTAAATATACTTTGAAGCTACCCCATCCAAGAACTAGATAATTTCAAGCATTACCCTCTTGTTGGGAATTTGGGTTGTCAATTTAACACTTTTTAAAGATAATGCCTGTGTTGGATTATTTCTGATGTGTCTTATAAATTTCTAGATGTGGAATGATCAGGTGGACATTTTGAGACTTGGAACATATTTTCAAATTGCCCTCCAAAAAAAATAAGACCAACACACTTCCATTAACAGCATCTGTTTTCTTGCTTGCTAACCAACACTGAATATTATAGGTTGCATTATGATTTCTTTGCAATTTTCATAATAGAAAAACAGAACTTCTTTTTACATATGTTACTTGATGTATCTATTCTCTTGATGTATGTGTATTGTTTTTCTTAGGTCTGTTAGATTTTTTAATATATAAAGGATATTAATTCTTTGGCTCTCAAACACGATGCAGTCTTCTCCCAGTTTATCATTTACCTTTTCCTTCAATATTTTTGAACCTAATGTAATTTTCACTACTATATATTCCAATTTACCAATATTTCACTTTATGGTATCTTCTATGGCATATGTGGTCTTTTCCAAAATTTTTCTATGTGTTTGTATTGTTTTTCCCATTTAATCCGTTTGTAATTTATTTTTTGGTCCTCCCCGTGGAAAGATCAACGAAGTTTTTTTTTTTTTTTAATTTATCCACTCATGAGAGACAGAGGGAGAGAGAGAGAGAGAATTAGAGGGAGAAGCAGGCTCCCAAGGAGCAGGGAGCCCAATGCAGGACTCGATCCCAGGACTCTGGGATCATGACCTGGGCCGAAGGCAGCTGCTTAACCATCTAAGCCACCCAGGCGCCCGAGATCAACTAGGTCTTAAGCCTATCACTCTTCTTGAGTGATTAAGGGTTCTAAACTCTTTGCTTGGACTAATTCAGTCAATCCCACAACAATCCTATAAAGCAAGTTCAGTTATCTCCATTTTTACGTGTGCGGGAACTAAATTTGCTTAAGGTTATTGAGCAATTAAGTGGTGGAGCCTGAGTTAGAACTTGAGTCTGGGCTCTTGACCCCAAAGCCATCCTTGCCTTGAGCTTACCGTGCACCAGAGGGTGACCACGTGAGTGGACTCAGTGATTCCGGATCTGGGCATGAATGACGATCACGTGTGCACCTCAGCCTTCAATCAGAAGATCTCTAAGTCCTGATGATGCTTCAACTCACCAGCTGTGGGCTCTGACGTTTCCTCTCCTTTAATAAAATGGGGATATACGTTGCAGCCTACCTCTTAAGGCTTTAAGAAAAGAATGCTTCTAGTGGAACAGCCACCACCCTGCAGAGAGTGCCCGCCCGGACTCTAAACATGTCACCATGTAGAAGTTCATGATCAGAACAAAGAGACACAAAGGTTGAACCTTCTTTGCCAGTTGTGTAATACAGGGCAAGGCTTTTATGAACACTCAGTGAGAATGGAAAATGGAAACTAATCCAAGCAGAAACAGACATTCTTCTGGGGCTTTTCAGTGCTAACAAGCCAAAATCCGATCTAAGGAGAACAATGTTCAGGATAAGAAATCAGGCAAGGATAAGTAATATGAGTGGACACCTTTAGCCAAGTTGTCCTATAGTGAAATTATGTTACCTATGTGAATATGATATAATTTTTTACAAAATCTGCCAAGGGGCTTCCCATGGAAGCAATCCTAGCTGCAGATGAGGTTTGTTGGCACTATACAAATGATCTCTGCAGCCTGCTTTTATGTCCATGCTTCTGGAGGGGAGTGTGGCTCCCAAATGTAGCCCTTACATATTTTGATCCATTACGTCTGTTGTGGGGTCGCCTTCCTGCCAAGTCTCCAAACTGGGTGCATTTCCTCACTTCCCCTCTATCACCAGCCTGCTTATGGGCCAGGCCCCTTAAGCAACTCAGGGCCCACAGCCACCTGTCCTTGTGGGCTTGGATCAGTGGGAGGGACGTGTGTATAACTAAGTGATGGGAGTGCCTTAGGTAAACAGGGCTTCTCTTAAAGTGTTACATTTGCAGCTGTCACATACCTGGAACCTTCTTCTGGACCAGAACACTGGCTTAGTCCCACCTCTGCCGCAGAGTATGGCCTATTCTGTTTTACACCCAGAATCCAAGGTCCAACTCACTTTCATATATGAAGCACTTCGGTTTTCAACCCAGGGAAAATGTGAACCCCACTTTTAGCAATGCTTGAAGAAAATGCACCTAATAATCCCACCTAAAAACTTCGTTGTTCTCTGTAGTGAGCCGAGTAGTACTCCCCCATCAAGATGTCCATGGTCTAATTCCCAGAACCCCTGAATAACTTATCCCACAAAGTAAGAGATTTTGCAGATGTGATTAGTTAAGGGTCTGGAGACAAGACGGGGACTATCCTAGACCACATGGGCATGCCTACAGTAATCACATGAGTCCTTACAAGAAAGCAGAGGGGAAGAGAGAGGGGAGGTGTGACGACAGACTTCAGAGACGGAGCCACAAGCCAAGGGAGTGCGGATGGCCTCTAGAAGCTGGAAAAGGGCAAAGGACGGATTCTCCCCAGGAACTTCGCTCTGCTGACACCTGGATTTGAGCTCTAGAAGACCCATTTCTCCAGAACCATGGAATGTGTGTTGTTTTAAAGCAGTAACAACAGTGGCTTAAAACAACATTTGGTTATTTGTCCCAGAAGCAATAAGAAACCAAGGGGCGCCTGGCTGGCTCAGTCGGTTAAGCGTCTGCCTCCAGCTCAGGTCATGATCCCAGGGTCCTGGGATCGAGCCCCGCGTTGGGGGGCCTGCTTCACCCTCTCCCTGCCCCCTGGCTTGTGCTCTCTCACTACCTCTCTCTCTCAAATAAATAAAATAAAATAAAAAGAAACCAATACAGACACCAGCAGAGAACAGCGACGCCC